TAATATGTTATATACACCATAAAACATGATTGAACATAAAAGATACAAGTAAGAAATCAAATATAAATGCTCATTCTAATATTTTCTCCTCACATTTCAGATAACTGTTTTGTGTACCTCCTGGGACCATGCACAATTACACACCTCACTTGTAGATCTCTGGTTCAGATAACTATGGAATGATAGTAACCTTGACTTTCCTTAGGCAGATAAATCTCTGCCCAAGTGAAAATTAACTTAGCTTCCTTTTAAGACATCACATTATTTGTTTTTCACTCTAGAACCATGTGGCCTAGCACATAGAGGCATACAATAAATATTTGATGAACATTAACTGAGTGAATGATGAAGGTTAAGGATACTTTATAAACACTCTAATTAGTTCATTCAAGTCAGTCCTCTTTGACAAAGGGTTCATATCACTGTATCGTCATTAGTGTGTGCATCGTTAAGCAGGAATGGCTGTAAGGCACATTGGAACTTTCATGGCAGGAGGCTTTGAGTCAGGGATAGTGCCTTCTGTGGAAGACTGGTCCCCATGCCAGGTTTTTACCCATCTAGATTGCTATAGTATGAGCCCTGGCAAAATCTGGCTTAATAGAGACCATCATGTGATACTCAGAGGCATTTGGGATGATGGGTAGGACACTGGCAATATAGTAACTAAATAACAGCAATTCTGAAAGATGGGAAGATAACAGCATTACGACGTTGGGGAGAGTTTGGAGAAAGGGAGAAGGGCCATTAAGGACACACTGGGTTTGAGATTCAGGGATAGGGTGTGTGTTAGGTCTTCTGCTCTCACCCTGCACACTCCCCTTGGGCTCTTACACTACACCCATAGCCTTCTAGCTAGTAAAGTGCCATCCCTGTGCTCATAGGCCAACACTGGTCTAGGAGCCTATGAGATGGTATAGTGTCTGAGGTGTCATGCAGACCCTACACCATCTACCTCATTAACTCAGCAGCTTTCTCCAAAACCTGATTCTCCCAAATGCTTCCATCTCTGTCGGTGGCATTACCACCATTCACTAGATGCAGAAACCTGGACGTCATGCTTGGTCCTCTAGCTCCCTCATCCTCTACTCAGTCTACTTGTCTCTGTTCCCTTTGCCAGTATCACCTCTTGCCTCCTAACTGTACACCTGAGCTCTGATCTTGTGCCTCCAAATTATTTTACACATTATACCAGAGTGGCTTTTATAAATAGAAATTTGGACAATATATCCTCCTTGTTCAAACAAGATAATACTCCTCTCTGCTACGCTCTTCTCTTCAACCTCAGCCCCCACCACTCTCCCCCTGGCGTTTGATTATCCTCTTCTGGTTATCACCTTCTTTCAGTTCGTTGAAGATGCTAGGTTACCCTCCAAACTCTGGGCTTCTACCCACACTGCTCCTCTGCCTGAAGCATCTTCTCTCCGCTTTGCCAGTCTGGTGTCAGCGGAGATGTTTCCCTGGTTCCTAGATGGGACTACATCTCTCTGCAAGGTGTTATCATAGGGCCCCACTGCTTCCCTTGGCACCCCGTGCAGTGACTGCTGTAAGTGGTTGCACACATATTTCCTTCTAGACTGTGAGGTGCATGAAGGCAATGGACACATTATCGTCTTTTCTGCTACATCCCTAGCACCCCTGACAGGGCCCTCAACTTTCATACATGTTTGTCCAATGAAAGAATGGGAGGATGAGGGCATTGTGGTGCTCACTGGGAGCCAAGCTAAGTGATTAGTCAGAAAGACTAAACAAATACAGCAAGGGATGGAGTAAACGAGAAATTTAAGCATAGGCGTCCATACTTAATTCCTGGTGTATCAGATACCAAGCATATGGACTTTTCGGTCCTCCCAGAGAGGAGATCTGAGTTTACCTAATGAAGTAGGATAGACTTGCAGGCAGACAGACTTGAGCTCTAAATTCTAGAGGTACAATCCTGGCAAGTTACTGATAGGGCCAATGGAATAATTCATGGGGATAATCTGTGCAAAGTACATGGTTACCTGGTATTTTGATGTGGTCCTTGTGAAATAGTCATTATGCCATGTTCTACATTACCCATCAAAACACTTCTGCTGTAAAATAATAACAATATCTTTCATTACCTTCCCTCAAATCTGATATTCTTCCGGATGACATAAGATAATAATTTTATTTAGTTCTAATGGGATCAGATGAAGAGTGGCTTTTATCGTTTTCACTTAATAATTAGGCAACCAAGGCATAGAGAAGTTGGTTAACCTAACCAAATTTGCACCACAGAGCAAGATACGACATTTGACTACTTGGTAATTCTATCACACAATCCTCATTTGTTCTTAATGCTTTTATTTGAATTTATTTCTTCCCCATTAAAGGTTAAGATGTTTACACTTAATTCAAAGAGTAACCTGTTTCCCCGAAAATAAGACTGTCTTATATTAATTTTTGCTCCCAAAGATGCGGTAGGTCTTATTTTCAGGGGATGTCTTATTTTTCCATGAAGAAAAATACGGTACACATTTATTGTTAAATGGAAATAAAGGAAATTTATTACCTGTATACGGTACTGTAGTACAGTAATTGTCAACACAAACCACACAAACTGTGAATCCTACAGTATCAAGAATTTACTCATTTATTCAATGACAATCATGTATTCATCTTCTGGAACATCATCATAACAATCCAATTCCTGAACTTCCTAGTGAATTTCTTGTGACTCCATTTCTTTCAGAATCAGTGGACCAAATCTCTCATGTTTAGCAATAGCATTCTGAGATAGAGCCGAGGAGGGGCCTTATTTTCGGGGGGATGCCTTATATTTCACTCAGAAGGAAACCTGTAAGTAGGTCTTATTTTTGGAGGATGTCTTATTTTCGGGGAAACACGGTATTTATTGAATCACCTACCATGTGTCACCTTAATTGCTGTGTGAATTTGAATAAACAATTAGTTATTACTAACTATGATTTTCTTAAGGAGCGCTGTACCTTATTGATATCCAACACTGGGGGAAGCAGAGTTGCCACCCCAAAATATTTATGTTGATAATTTTAAGTTGGTTGTTTTACTAAACAAAAGACTCAGAAAGAACTTTCCATCTTCCCCCTAAGTGCCTAAAATAATTCAGGTAGAGGGCCTACTCTTGGAAGGGCACGATCATCGTAGTGAACTGCAGCTTAACATGAACTCCGTGTGATCGGGAGGAACCGAGCAAGGCCCTTTTGATTGACGTTGCCGCTGTGTCCAAAGAGTTAAAGATGGTCCAGCAAACAGTCATTCAGCAAACACTTGCTGCTTTCCCATCTTCATATGAATCGCCTTCCTGCCCTTTGAGGTCCCAAACTTCTCCTTACATCTAAAAGGGCAGATGGTCCTCTATTGTCCAACAAGTTCTTGGGCCCCATAATTGTATGGAATCCCCATATGTCATATGTAATAAATGTGTTTCAACCTGTCCCGTGTTAATGTTATTAGCTCAGCCAGAAGAACTTGAAAAGGAAGAAGATAATTGTTTCCATCCTACATCCTAGTGAGGGGATAAACACACACACCTGGGACCCTGCTTTCCAGCCCACTCTGCCTGCTGCAGGCGAGGCTGCTGCAGACAGTGCTGCTTCCTCCATGTTTATTCTCCAGCCATCTAAGGCAGTGCTTACTTACCCTGGGAATTGTTCTGCTCCCATCAAGCAGGTTCCAAATAGTCCAGGCTCCTAGACAAGTTTTCAGAAGAGTGGAGGCACTTTTACACACACTGCTTCTGAAATCTCCAAATAACAGATAACGAGGAGGCATTTGTTTGTCACAGGTCATTAGGCAAAATGCCTAAGTCTTATAGGAGTATCCTCTGAGCTACTGTCCTCAGAACCTTCAAAGGCAGGGTCTTTCAGACTTAACTGAAAGTAAGTTTGGCTGCACTGACTCATTCAAAGTTAAAAAAGAGGGTTCTTCTCATTCAATTAGAATTAATTACAATTTCTTTCTTTTTTTTCTTTTCTTAAGGAATGATATCGCTGGGCTACTTAATAAACACCTAGAAAGATGCATCCAATGCACATTTTCTTCACTTTTGGTAATATTAGTGATTCCTCTCTTGTCCTAGAAATTCAAAAAATGACTTAGGTCTAGCTTTATGTAAATGAATTGCACATTTTACACAATTCTATAAAGAGCAGAAGTTATCTCAATGTATTATTTAAACACTTTATATCTGCAAATTACTTTATTCTTTTCTGGTCTCAGCAGATCAAGCTACAATCAAGAAAGTTTCCTTTCTGAGCGGAGCGCTGATCTGCTGTTTGCTCCCCAAGGCCGCACAGGAGTGCGCAGTGCAGGCACTGGACCTGCCATGGGCCCTGCTGGCCTGGGTCCGGCTGGCCTGGGCAGGGCATCCTCCGCCTGGCCGCCTGGATGCCTCCAGTGCATCCATGCAACTAACTGCAACCGGTTATACCGGATCCAGAAACCAGTTTGACCCAAATAAACAAAGAACTGGAAAACAGAATAGAGGGAATGTCAGAGTTACAGATCCAGAGATTACACACCGAAACTCTGTAACTCGGATTGTACAGCTAGGGGTCAAGGTGACACAACCACACTTTATTCCACCGAAGTTTCATTCCCCCCAAATTCCAGCTGTTCTGGGCTGTGCTGGGGAGAGTCCTTGGGAGACTGGGGATCGGATGGTTGTGTGGGGTGTGGGGGGTAAAGGGTGGGGGAACCACTCTAGGGCAGCCCGGGACCCTGGATGACGCCCTGGCCCTAACCAGCGGGGGGTCCCCTGCTCTGTCCCCCGCTCTGCCCTCGGTCCCAGGCGGAGCGGGGCGCAGGGAGCGCGGAGCGGCCGGGCCGGGGCCGCGGGCCAAGCGTCCTGGCCGCCCTGTCCCTCCGGATGTGATGACAGGAGCGCCCGACGAGGAAGTGCGGGCGGCGGGCGGGCGGGAGGCCGGTCCGCGGCTGCGGGAGGGGAGCGGGCGCTGCGGGGGCGCAGCCCGGCGGGGCGGGGGCGCGCGGGCGGCGGGGCGGCCCCTCCGTCCGGCCCGGGCCCGGGGCGCGGGGCGCGGGGCGCATCGGCCGGGGCCGCGCTAACTTTTCCGGGCGGAAGAGGAGGAGAAACGGGCTTGGACCGCGGCGTGGGTGGGAGGATGCCGAGGTAGGTGGTGGTCTCCGGGGCCCGGAGGAGAGGGCTCAGTCCTTTCCCTGGAGCTTCTCCCCAACCCACCCCCTTTCCCCGGGGGACCACCCTCCCTCCCCCGGCTCCCCAGCAACTTCCCGAGACTCCGCTGCCGTCCGCGGGCGGCGATCGGCGCCTCTCCGTGGTTTCAAACCAGGACTTCCCGGGGTGGGGTTTGGGGGGGGTGGCCCGGGAGGGGGTGGAGGGCCGGGAGGGGACGTGCCGGGGGTGTGCTCAGCTCCAGCCGCTCCTCTCTCTCCAGCTGCAGCCGGGGCCCCGCGCGCGGCGCCGGCGGGGCGGCCAGCTAGGGCCGTCGGGGAGCGGCCCATGTCCGACGCCGGCGAAGCCCTGGGTCCGGGGCCCCGTCCGGGGGCCGAAGCTGGCGCCCCGGCCCAGGGTGAGTGCACGCTCTGCGAGCTGCAAGCTTCCTCGCCGCGGCTGCTTTCCCCGGGGCGGTCACCCATGTGTGGATCGGGGTGTGCATGGGTGTGTGGACGTGTGGACGGGGTGCTGGGGTGGTGAACTTCTGCATGGTGTTCGGGGCGCAGAGCGAGTCCCCCCGGGTCCCTGCCCCGGCCCCGCGCGGGGTGAGAGGCTGAGAAGGCGGGATCCCGGCCCCTCTACTCCCCCTTCCTGCGGCTGCGGCGGGCGGGATGGGACAGCCTGATGGCTGTTTTCTGGAGCTTCTGCGCGGATGGAGGGGCCTCGAAGGTGCGAGCTCTGGAGCAGCTCTCCGCTGGGCTGGGAATCTGCAGGGTTCCCGTCTGCAGCAGCTCTGGGCCTGCCCGCGTCCCTGCCCCAGCATGCGTCCTCCTCCCTCATCTTGCTGTTTCTGGGGGGCTGCTCTGCACCTGGGGGGTATAACCCACGATTCTGCTTTGGAATGGCTCATGCATACATTTGCAATAACTTTGCTTTAAAATAAATAGTCCTTTAAAGAAACACTTTCCAGGAATGACAGGCCCTCTGTGTTCTTACGAAGCATAAACACTGTATGTACAGTCTGTCTGAGCAAATGCTCTTGCTTCTGAGAAGCCTCCACAAGGAGCTGGTGAACAAGCCAGGTTGTCTTGCTGTTCTCGAAGGCAGCAACAGGTTTTCTTAGGCGACCATGAAAGAGCAGGCCTTGCTTACTTCTCTTGAGATGTTTTCATCTTAGGCTGGTTTTTGTTTAAAGGCTTTTGATATTGACACGAACTCCATGACTTTCCAGAGCTCAAAAACCTACTTTATACTCTTGATTTTAAGTATATGTGATACCTCCCTCCTCACCAACAGGAATGGAGTGGGGTCTTTGGCCTATTATTTGAAAGGCAGCAAATATTGGAAAAGAAGTGAGTGAATGCTGAACCTGCAATAGGTAAAAGCAGAAAACATCCATGGCTGAGTCAAAATGTGCTGACATTCAGGCTGTTAAATTGAATTATGTTTATCATTGTTATTATTTTTTTTTTGTGATTCTAAACAGGAAGTCCTGTGTGTTTGGTTTTTTTCTAAACAGATAAAGTATGAGAAAATGAGAGCACTAGAATGAAAAGCCAGTTTTCCAGAAGCAGCCCCCGTTTGACACATTGCTTTGCCAACACCATCTTTCTCCTGCCCTCAGGCAGGTCCCCTGCAGTCAAACTCATTGATGGGCTTTTTATGTCCACAGTTCAGCTGTTAATCACCATTGTTAACTAAGGCTTCCTGATGTCAAAAATCAGCATCAAACACTAGGAAAACGATTGATTTGGGACTTTTTTGATGTTTACTATGTCCAACTTGAGTGGCAGGCATTTTAAAATCACCTAAAAGACCTTACAGTGATACTGTGTCTAACTGTTCAGACATCCTGCTGTAAGGTGTCACATGATCTGACTCGAAGAAGCCGGCATGCAGAATAGGCTGAAGACTGATCTTGGCTTCATGCAACACACACAGTATCAGTGTGGAAACTCTTGGGTTAGATTTTACCTGAAAATTGGCTTACCTTGAGCAACAAAATTGCTTTTTAAAGTAGTTTTACTTCGAATCACAGCCTCCTTTTAAATAGGTATCAATGCAATTGTAAGTGAAGGTAAAGTTGATTTAAAAAAAATAAAATGATCAGGATCTTGTTAAAATACTGGGTCTCAGGCAGATTTAAGAAGGTGTATTGAAAGGGAAAAAAATGTTGAAGAGAGTGGTTAGATAAAAAGTCTGTTAGATACACAGGCTTCGCTGGCTGGCCAGGTTGATTTAACTGGGAAGCACAGTGGTGAAGAAGGCTTACTAGCAGGCAACTCAACTCTTCCTCAAATTCTTTTCCTTATGTCCTTCAACTTTTTATCTTTTCTGAAAAATAGCTTAATAATTCTCTGGTAAGACAAGGCTGCTTAGTTAATTGAAATTAATTTTAAAATAACATATTAAAATTAGTGAGAAAAATTGAATGTTTTATAAAACACAATGTCTTTTGCAAAGTTAAATATAGGTATGAGTACATATGATATTATGACCTATGCATATGAACTCTATACTACTGACCAAAGATAGAGAGAACAGTAAAGTTGAAGCTAATTTTAGGGGATTCTCCAGTCTGAACTCCCCCTCAAGTCTAGAATTCCTTTCTCCATTCTTTTAGGTAGTTAGTTAGAAACCTAGAGAGTAGTGCATTCTACATGGAAAAACAGGGGACATCTGTAATTTCTTCAGCAATAGCATCTTTGGGAAGGTTTTCCTTATTGCGAGCATAGCTCTGTCTCTTTAAAATGTCTACCCTTTTGTCGTGATTCTGCGAGCAAAATTCTATTGCTTTGAAAAGATTAAAAATATTTTTTGTGAATTTTGGAAATGGTTACAGAACAAGGACATAAGCTCTTACACTCCAGTCTGTAAGAAGGAACCAGGATGGGGACCAGAGTTAGGGAGCCGTGGGGACTGTGGGCCCCTGGAGAGCTCCCGCTCATCTTTGTCATTTGGTTAATATTTCCCCACGATAAGCCAGTCAGAGGAAGACAGGTGTCACATGATCTCATCCTCTGTGGAATCTAAAGCACAGAATAAACTGATGAACAAAATAGATCCAGAAACAGAAGCATGGAACAGACTGTAGAATCTCAGAGGGAAGATGGGTGGGAAGAGATCAACCAGATAACTAATTTGCATATATGCATAACTCATGGACATGGACACTTGGGACAGGGGGTGGTGAGGGCTAGAAGGACTCAATGGGGGGGGGGAGGACATCTGTGATACTTTCAACAATAAAGATAAATTAAAAAAATAATTTTCAGTGTTCCACAAGATACCAGAAATATGGATTCTTGTGTAACATATCTCCCCTTTTAAGAGTTGCCAACTAATTAAATACAATTATTGTCTAAGCCAAGCAAAACAACCACACCTACAGGCTGGAAGTGGCCTCTAAGCAGCTGATTGGTGATCTCTGTTACAGAGAATAAAAAGTAAAGGTACACTTTCAGACTACTTCCCTATTTGTGACTAACTTCTGAAAAACTAATTTGATTTGCCATCTTATGCAAAATACCTGTGTAAGTATTTTGATAGGTGAAGGACAATTTGGGCCCAATTTATTTTTGTTTTAAGAGAGAATGAATCTTATACACATGATTCATCCAATTGACATTTTTATTGTTTTGGATTAAGCATTTTAAATTAGTTTTGCTATCAACTCTGAACATATAAGTAGTTGTTTTACTGGTGCTATAGTTACTAGGATCCATATAGTTGAAAAGAGCCTTTTAATTAAGTGCTTCATTCATAAATTTGCAACTTGGCACTAGAAGGATCTTTAGAAATAATGTAGTTTAACTGGCTCCTTTTTTTTGGAAAAGATGCCTGGAGAATGTAAGTGACTTGCCCAAGGTCTCACACCCAGTCACTAGAAACCAGGGTGGAAGCACAAATTGTAAAGTGTATTGTATGTCACGGTGATAAATGTGGTTGAAGCAGAGAATCAATACAAGTTTTCCCAGTAGACGGATGAATTAAAGATAATGGGGTTTGGAAACTGTGAATCACTTGAGCCTGTTCCCATCCCGGCCCGCCCCACCCCCACCTCATTGCATCTGTCAGGACTTAAGCCTGTTGGGCTGGAGTGCTGGGACATACTTTAATGTGATAATGTGTGATTTAATGCACTCTTCTCTCCTGGGAGAGTCCTCTGAGATTATTAGGCGGACTTTTCATAGCAGGATGCAAAATGCCAGTGAAGTTAATTAAAAATAATTTAAAATAGAAGCTAGGGAGAAAATCTTCAAGTTGAAATTACATGAGAAGAGATTTGACTTGGAAGCATAGCTGACTTGTCAGGAATTTATAGTGGCTAATCAGATATCCTTTATGAGGGGCCTGTTTACTTCACTGGATCCAATGTATGCTTATAATGTCTCTATTCTTCTACTTTTTGTCATATTATTTTATCCTTTTGATTAGGGGCGGTGTTTCTCAAAGTGTGTCATGTTTGGACAACTTCTATCTGTGGTTCTCAGTTGGGAAAGATTATGCCATCTAGGAGACAATTGTTAAAAGACTGGAGACAGATTTTGCGGTCAGAACCCTGAATGAACGGGGTGGGTGATCCTGGCACCTGGTGGGGAGAGGACAGGGTTAATGCTGAACATCTCACAATGCACAGACAGGACAGCCCCTCGCAACAAAGAATGAGCTGGCCCACAATGCAAGGATTGTTGAGGTACCATCCTGACCTCAAGGCCCCTGGCATTGGTGGCTCTGAATTTCCTGGTGGAATACTCAAGAATCTGCATGTTTTTACAAGTTGCAGGTGCTCTTTATTTCTAGTTGATAGTCATTGTTTTAGAGGCTTTTATCTATAGGAATTGATAGATTTTAAAAAGTATTCTTATAGTAGAAAAATATCAAGAAACTTTTAAAAAGTTCTCATTTCAACTTCCAGACTTTAAATTATATCACTCCACGTACGTATATTTTTTATTTGTGTTCCAGAATGTTCATCACATATTCTAATTAAAAAATAGTTCTGAGAATTCAACCTTAAAAAGTTTATTTTCAAAATTATATGTACTGAATGCTAATATATTTTGAACATTAGCAAAAAATACTTAAATAAAAATTAAAAAGGATGAGATAAAAATAAGTAGGTAAATAAATTTGTTACTATTTTCTTCTACCACTTAGTAGATATTCTTGTCCTGCCACCGTATACTTCTCTTTGATGATCCCAGTAGAGAACATTATGCTGGCAACCAAATATGAATAACCAAACATAAAGCTAAGTTGAATAGAGACTGTTTTGGAACACGTTTGAATATAGGAGCTTGAGCAAGGACAGGCTTAGTTAGAAAACTATAGAAACTTGTCTAGATTTGGAAGATAATTTAGGGGCATTTTCAAGCACCTTAGCACTTATACTCCCAATTCCTTTTTATGTCT